TGGTCTTAACTTTTGAACGATTGGTTCTTCAGCTTTCATATTTCACCTGTATATTTCTTGAGAGAAGGCCCATCCTTAGGCACCATTAATTTTGACCATTTGATCTTGACCTTGATATTTGATTTACTTTTGAAAAACTTTAACCTTTTCCTTATCTATTCAATGGTTGCTGCTAGGGCTTTCATATTTCACAGGTATATTGCTCGAGACAAGACTTTGCTTTGGGTACCAACATATTTGATTTGCATTTGAGAAAGTTTAACCTTTGCTATAAGTTGCCATACGGGGCATCAGTGTTTTACAAACACATCTTGTTTCTTTTTAATGCTACATTTAATGTGTGTAAGTTACCTGATTTTTTAAATGAAAATGCTAGTCTAAATGCATCTTGTAACTTGTGTCAACATCCACTTTATTTATAAAATGCAATATGTTCTTTACTCTTATGACTGCCTTTGACATCGGACAATCGAAGATCGACATATGTTATTAAAAAAAAAATTAGTGTGAGATTTTCTAGATTGACTTTTATCATTACCTCGATAAAATTTTGTTGACCTGTCACCTGTCTGGTGCTCCGTCTTGAGTGTCACAGCGGGAAAACACGCCATGGACTTGCAACAGCTGAGAGAGTGACATCCCATAACCAATCGGAAGTAGAATTCTGTATTTCTGCTTGTACATCAAACATTTACATAATTAACTCGCTATTCCAGATCTGATTTTAAACAGATTGAAACGAAGCATAACATGATTATAAATAATGTTTAAATATTAGTGTGCATCTTCCTGTATTCTAAATAGTATACTTGTTAGACATCAGTTTTTGTACATTTTTCTTACAAATGCAAATTGGCTGAATTTTAATTTCAGGGAATTCTTAAGCAAGCTTGTCTGTTTATATACCCTCAAGTGCATTAGATGCAATTCAGTGCATCAAATATCTACATGCCAGTTGCCCTCAAAATGGTAAGTGTCTTGCTCTAGCACTTACACAATCGGTCGTGTTCTACGATGGCCGATATCAGCCATGTCATTCTACAGTTAAATTATGTGTAGAATGTCAGTGCTATGTACAGTTTGCTTTGTCAGGTTACTCATTGCTTGAGTAAAGTGTACAAGGTGTACACCAAGATTTCAACGCTGTCACGGCAGTCACATTGCTCGGAAGATGTGAATTGTATACATGTGTTATTAATTGACGGTTTACTCCTATCTACAATTGAAATTCTTAAAAAACATAAAAACGAATTCCTACATCTGGAAACAGCGGTAGGGACACAAAGGGTGCAACAAAATAAAACATCTTGAGTTTTTGTTTTGGTTCACATAAGGATATATCAAACTTTCCCTACAAGAATAATTATACGAGATATTAATTATATTAAATTCATTTCTTAATTAATAAGTTATTTATTTAGCTTCCTTCAATCAATAAGAAAAACACATGTTTATCATAGTGTTTAATAAAAACTTTATTCAGTTTCAAGAAATTCATGTAAGTGTTAAGTGATTACACTATGCAACTTTTTAGGTAATATGAGAGATAAACTGTTAAACACTTTTGTACAAATCAAATAATGTTTACACATTGGTGACTAGTATATATAATTTGATATTTAATTACTCATTGCTTGTTAACCTACTTTGACATACATACATGTGAAGTAAATAGTCTAAAACATGTATTTAGAAATCAGTTAATTAAATTTAAAGCATAAGGATTGCAAATGACAATAAATGTTAAAAAAAAGTAAACAGCATGGAAAAATTTAAGTACTGCTGACATGAAAATCCAGTCGTAATATGCACATGCGACTTATTTTGGTAATTTAAAAAAAAAAAAAACTCAGTAATCACTCAATAAAGATAACCTTTCCCAACGAAAAACGAAAAAGGGAAAGATGATGTGTAAGTGAATGAGAAAGAATTTTTTTCAGGTTTTACCATATACATTATATATATATATATATATATATATATATATATATATATATATATATATATATATATATATATATATATATATATATATATATATATATATATATATATACACCCTATTGCAATACCAGAACCTCAGATTCAAAGAAAATTATTTAAAAAAATTAGGAAGCACTTTTTCTCTCTTCATCTTTTTTAATTCTATAAGTAGTAATATCATGTGCTACCAAGTTAATTAAGAACATTTTTTTCTAACATTTTTCTGAAAGAGGTAGGTTTACCTCCCTTTACGGGCTGACCATTGACCTCCTTTTTCCATACTTACCTGTAAATTATACATTTTGTACATAATAAAGTTGACCTAAAAGAAGTCATCATTAATTACTTGATAATCACAAAAATCTACATGATCCACATGGTAGGTGGAATTGATGCGTCATTTGAACCAACAAATCTTAGGTTTTACAATCAAACATTTACTGTGTAATATATTTAAGTGTAAGCATTGTATGTTATTTATGCAGGTTATTTTCGAGAAGTATGTTGTAAAAAAAAATTCACAATACAAATAAGATGAAATTAAAGTATCATTAGTAATTAATTCATATAATTAATGGAAGTAAATGTTCAAAATATTTGAGCAAAAGTTAGGAGTTTGTCAATTAATGAAAAGATATCCAACTCTGTGGTTTCCACATTTTATAAGGTGCCACATATTCATTTCAATGATTTATTATATCTGGCAATTACTTCTGGGAGCGTCAAAGTCACATACAGTACAATGGATTAAAAAGAGTCAGAATCACAGCTAATGTCATGGTTTTAGAGTCACAATCACTGTAGTCTATGAAAGAATATCCTTCCACTGCAGAAAGATCACAAGGTATCACAATGAAAAGTTCTTAACAGAAAAATTCAGTTTTCAGTATCCAAATGTCATAAAGGGACAGATGGAGCATGACTTCTTAAACATCAATACTGTTTGTAAGACACTAACCCTCTAAATGGTAATACATGTACTCAGAATAAAAAAGATATATCCTATAAAATTAACTACAAAATGAATATATGGGATTACATATAACAATAATGTAATTTAAAATAAATCTCAACAAGTTTACAAACAATATATTCAAAAGCATACATTGTTATATAAATATATATAGATGAAGAGTTGTTCAGAATTTTACAAATCTTAAGAAATAAGCTCAGTTCAACAGTAGATGAACTGGTAATTGGTAAAAATGTAATTATTGTATGAATAGGCCTTAGCGATGATTTTAATTACAGTATGCATTAAAAATTCAGTGAAATTTGTAATCATTAAATAGAAAAAATACGATTTTTTTTTTACAAGGGAAATCATTAGCAAGTAAACATATATACATGAATTGAATAAGAATAAAATATACAAAGGACAGTCATGTTAAAAATTTACTGGTAAATGTCTTCATCTTAAAAATAACTGAATACAGGTAATAATGCAAACAAAGACAAGGTACAAAATTATTATTTTCAAAAATAATTTCATATTTTCATAGGTTTATTTTATAATAAACAATATAATTTATATTTTATAATGTGCATAACAACTAAAGCTGTCTAAATAGGACTAATACACCAACAAGGGAACTTGGAAAGACATACTTCTCTGCAATCATGCTAAAATTATACTGAATCTTGTTGAGATAACTGTAATATGCTAAAGGTTGTGGTAATTTATATCATCATATTACCGTATGACCTTATACAAACAATCATGGCATGAGATAATGACATCTTCATGAGCAACGTATGCCAAAGTATGACCTGCATGGTGTTTTATCTAAAACCAAAATCTTGTCTAAATCATCTTTTCTGATGGTCACGACATTATCATAATTTTTTTTTTTTAAAGTTTCAGATATTGACAAAGCCACAGACAGATGGACATGTTGATTCCAGTATACCCCTCAAACTTTGTTTGAGGTGTATACTAAAAGACTGGGACAAAGGGATGAGGGAGGGGGCATTCTAATGCATCTCCCTCTGAAATGTTTTTACTTTGTACCATTTTTTTTTTACCATTTTTTTACCATTTTTACCATTGTATTTAATGCACAGTCTTATCAAATGCAAAGTACACCATTTTATGATCTGACCAGTATGCTTCAATCACATCTGTTTGAAAAGGGGATATGTTTGTAAAAATCAAGTCAAGTTTAGAACCAAAGTCATGAGTAGTCTTACACACAATTTGTTTACAGTTAAAGCCTTTTTCCATAAATGTTAGAAAGTCTGTATGTCCAGCAAACAAATCAAAATTAAAATCTCCTAAGAATACCAAGTCTTTCTGGTCATCAATCAAGGGTTTTATATGCATCTCCACATGTTGTTTGAAATCTCCAAAAGAGCAAGATGGATATTTGTAAATAACTACAACTTGGACAACTCTGCTTTGGTTTAATTGTACATTTACCATGATGAACTCCATTGAACCACTGTTCAGCTTTGAGATGCAAGTTATTTTGTAAACATTTTTTACATATACAGGTGTTCCATGATGCGGTCGTCTATCCAGATTAGCTGTAGTCTCATGGTTAAATACTGCCGTGTATCCCTGTAGTTGATAATTTTCTGCTACATCTGCACTAGTTAATCTTGTCTCCGAGAATCCAACTACATCTGATGCAACAATATTTGGTTCATTTTTAATTTGTGGGAAGTGTTTATGAAGTGATCTGCAGTTGTTGAAAGTAATTTTAAAAGAATTCAAATCAACCTGGTATAATGGGACGTAACAAAGTTGTAGTGGCACATCTTTTTTTTCATTCTTTCCATTTCCTCTACCACTTGTTTATCCATAGCCAATGCCTGCTCATTAAAGTTTAGGATGTGAAGATGTTCTACTGAACGTACCCGACTTAGTGCTACATAGTGAATATGTGGATTTTTTCTTACTTTAGTCTGAGATAAATCAATTACAATTTCATCAACAGTGCAACCTTGGGCTTTATGGACAGTTTTTCCTGCAGCTGGCCGTAAAGGAAATTGAATTCTCTGAAAAGTATTGTAGTTTAATACGAAGATCGCTGAACTTCAAAAATTGGTCTCCAGTCCTCAGTGATTCCATCATGAAACAAATGTTTATATTTCTTGCGGGTTGTTTTTCCAATACCAGAGTCAAGAAATTTTACCCAAACAATGCTTGGCCTTGATGTGCCTTCAATTCTCCCTTCAATTAATTGTACTTTACATGATGACCCATTTGTTAAACCATCAGTTACATCAACATTGACAAAGATATCATATATCATACCCACAGCAAGAATCAATTTTTGCATCAAATTGGCAGTTTTGCTAACATCATTTGCTTTCAAGAGAGACCTGAGGAGCTTTTCCTTAAGTTCCTTTGAATAATCCTTAAGAACAGTATCCATTGAATTCATTGTGATCTTTTCTCCTTCAAGTTTTTCAATCAACTGATTGTTGTATGCATCTACTTTAGAATTCTGTGTAAAGAGATGAGGAGCATGGTGTGGATAATTCTCACTCGCTTCTGTTATTATGCATCTGTTTATTTCATTCATATCTTCTGCTGTTAATGCATTGTAACGAAGGCGATTAAGAAGTTGAGCAAACTCAAGATCATCTTTCTGTCGCATTATTTCATCCAACTCAAAAATACAAAAATGCTCCTTCCAAAGATTGTTTGCAAGAGCTTGAGCAGCATGATTTAAATCCTGAAAGATCCAACGGTCCATCACGGGTTTAAGTTGAAAGAAATCACCAACAGCTATGATACTAATGCCACCAAATGGTTTCTTGATGCCTGTGAGAAGCTGTAGACGACTGTCAATGAGTGCTAATGATCTATTACCAACCATCGATATCTCATCAATTATGATCAATTTTAGATTTTGGTACTTTCTACGAAAAGTGTTCAATTCATCACAGTGCAAACTTTGTTGGCTTTGATTAATTTTTTGATGGAAAGCAGATGCTATAGTTGCCCCTCCAATGTTATATGCTGCCTTGCCTGTAAACGCACAAAGAAGTATTCTTATGTCGTCTGGATTTTCACCTTCTGTGGAACATAGATATCTGTGCAGAGCTTGATAAAGAGCTCTTATTAAAACAGATTTGCCAACTCCAGCTCCCCCAGATAAAAATGAATAAATAGGTTCTGTCTTTGTTTTGACCCACTGCAAGACATGATTGAAAAATTCTCGCTGCTTTACATTTAGACTTCCTAAAAGTTTCAAGTATTCACTGTCTGGTAATCTAACAGAACTTTCTTCTGTTATTTGTCTTGTGGATGGAATACCAATATCACCTCCTATATCATACTGTCTCTGTTCAACAGGCCTCTCAGGATTAAACTGAACAAAGTTTTCAGATTCAAGAGATCCCTCGTTTTCATCTTCTGCTTCTCTTTGTTGAGCATTTGGTGCCAATTCATCAAAAGCTTCTGAAAAATCCTCTATTGCCATTTGCAAAGCTGCATCAAGCTGTTCAGCATTGAATTCATATTCCTTGACTTTGTGTGTAAGAAAGGACTTCTTCAGATGAAATGACTTCTCAAATGTATTTGTTCCTGAAATTAGATCAACGGATTCATTTCTCCAAGGCATGAACAACATTAGTTTTTCTCTATAGTAATTTTCTGGATCAGTTTTGATACTAAACCACACATATCTAATTACCCTGGGTACTTTTCGTCGTTTTAACTTTATGCCATTTTTCAGAGTAACAAGTGTATCACTTTCACCAAAATCAAGATCTGAATCATCTTCGTCATGTGACTTATTGTCCAGATCATCATCATCATTCACTTCATTTTCAGTGAACTCTTTTTCATTATCTTTTGGGAATACAACATCTAGTTGTGATACATAATCAGCTAAACACCAGTTTTCAAGTTGTTTTGGGCGTTTTGCATACCGTTTAATAACATTGCTGCATTCCACATCTGTAGAATTTGGTTTCAACTTTTCCAATTCAGCATCTGTTTTGATGAGAATTACTCGGTCATCTGATGGACTTGTGTTGATAAAAACAACATCTCTTGATGCCTTGGTCAATGGCATTTGTAATACTAAATATGCTGCTTCCTGAGCTCCAACTTCTACACTGTTGAGAAAATGATTTCCAATATGACGTACCTGTCTTTTAATGTCAAGATTTCCTTCTCTAGCTTCCTTTGCAGCTCTGTTAAGTAAATCGATCATCCCTCTTTGTGATTTACTTATATAAGAAACAATATACATTGTACAGGCATATGGGTCCAAAATATACTGAATATCAATGTTAGCTTTCCAAGCATCAAGAACAACACTGTTGTAGGAGTTTACTCTTATATCACATGGCCTTCTCTGTAGAAAAACCTTTGGACCTCTCAGTGAACTTCTAATGCATTTAATGTAATCTTCGGATATCTTTAGTACTGTGCTCAGAAGTTCCTTGTAGGACAAATCACATCCATTTTTCATATCATTCAGCCGTTTTTGAATTTCTTCATACATTTTCCTGTATTTGTCAACATCACACTCTAGTGGCTCCAAAATCAAAGTCTCTTCAAGAGGAGGAAGGGGAAAGCCAAATCTACAGACAGTTTTACCTCTCTTTTTGCATGTCTGTGAATGTTTGTGCACTTGTAAGCCTGTGAAATCATCCTCTTCATTCTTTTCACATTTGAGGTATTTATCTACATAATTTACTATCTCCTTTTCACTACTTTCATGATATTTTGGTGCATTTTCTATCCAAACTATCATATGAACATGTGGTGACCCTCTTTGCTGAAATTCAATTCTATAAAAGAAGTCTTTCACAATGCCAATTGGATGGTGGTCACACCTCAACACAGAATTCATAAATATGCGAAACCTATGATCAAAGTACCTAGTGCATGTGATAAGATCCTTTTGTACCAATTTTGATTTTTCAAACCATGCCATGCTGTCAATTTGTTCATCTGTGTATTCCTTTCCATCATTTAACACACCAAGTGCTCTGATGAGATTATTCCATCTCGTATCAGCTGCAGACAGTGACATAAACCATGTTGGTAGACCTAGTTGTCTGATCATAGCAAATACATCCTTTTTTCTAGTCTCAAGATATGCAGGTGAGTTTCGTAACTGCCTGAATACAAAGAAGCCTTCATTGTGTCTAACAAGATTACTCACATTTTCAGGATTTTTCATTTCATTTGCTGTCATGGATTTTCCTTTGGTTTTGCATTTCCTCAGAGCCAGGTTGCACTTGTCTGTAACTTGTTTCATCTGTATTTTTTTCAACTTAAAAAACAAATTGGGAACAGATTGGACAGCACGTCTATCAACACTTCTCAATTCCCATTTAGCTAAATCTGCATACGAGACACGAACTTGTCTTTCATCATCTGGTAATCTTCCTTTTCCACAAAATATTGTTGGAAATGATAAATATTCTGCAGTGGGATCTTGATATAAACTAATGGGACGTTGTCCTTCTCCTGGAGCAAAGGTGTATATCTGATTCATGTCTTGAGAAGCATCATCTAACAGAGTATCACAATTACCATCCCTACCAACTCCATCTACTTCACAGAATTCATCATCATCATCATCATCTGTCTCAAGATTATCAATATTTTGATCTCTTCTCGTCTGTGTATGAACAAATTCTTGAATGATTTCATTTGCTGAAGATGTGATTTCTTGAAACCAACTATCATCAACATTTATGTTTGAATTCTTATAGAAGTCACTGTTGTTCAAAAGCCAATGTAATGCCATCAGTACTTTTGCTGGTCGTACATTTTCATGATAGTCACATTTTGGTAAGAAAGTCTTTTCTTTAACTTAACAGGAACTGTGATATTTTCATCCATCTTTCTAGGCAAGCTATTTAAAGTGGGTTGAATATCCACAGGAACATTCACAATATTTCCTTTCACAGAATATTGTCCACCTCTTGGTAACTCTCTAATTTTCATGAAAGGAATTCTAAGTGATATTAGTCTTTCTTCGAATGGAAACAAATTCAATTCTGTCGGCTTTGGTGGCCATGTCATACCATTTAGAACAGACAGCTTGGGGACTTTCCCTTCTCTAATTGATGAATAGCAAGTATTGCAAATCCACTCTGCATTTCCAACAGAAATAATACCAGTAAGATATTTGATTTTAGTTAAGCCATCCAAATTTGTGTTTTGCACCTTTAAAACACTTTCTTTGAACCATGTTTGATGACAACATGAGCATACAAAAACTGGGCCATGTTTAATCTTTTCATGAAAATTGATGATGCAATCCTGTATGTGTATTCCAAACTGTCTTTGCCTATTTCCTTCACTTTCTTTGTTACAATATTCTTCATTCATTCTTTTATCTTGTTTCCTTTGTCTATTGTTTAACTTCTCATTTTGTCTATAAGAAGTCATTTCTTCGAGCTTGTATTTTTAATCGCTGTTTTTCAAGAACGAGAGGATTTTCTCTATATTTTCTTTTTGAAATTCTATTTCCTTCATTTTCTTTTTGTTTTACTTTATTATTTAACCTTTTCAACTTCCTTGCACACTTATCATTCATTCTTTCGTTCTCTCTACTTCTACATTTTGCCTTTTTATTTTTCTTGCAGTCGTTTCTCTTTCATTTTCTTTCTCTTTTACTTCATTTTTTTGTCTTTTTAACTTCCTTGCAGCTTTATCCATTTCTTTTTCTTTTCTTCTCACTTCTACATTTGCCTTTTGAATTGTCTTGCAGTTGTTTCCCTCTTGTTTTCTCTCTCTTTTACTTCAACATTTTGCCTTTTCATTTTTCTTGCAGTTGTTTCTCTTTCATTTTCTTTCTCTTTTACTTCATTGTTTTGTCTTTTCAACTTCCTTGCAGCTTTATCCATTTCTTTTTCTTTTCTTCTCACATCTACCTTTTGTCTTTTCACATTTCTTGCAGTTGTTTCCCTCTTATTTTCTTTCTCTTTCACTTCAACATTCTGTCTTTTCACTTTTCTTGCAGTTGTTTCCCTTTGATTCTTTTTATTTCTTATATCACCATTTTGTCTTTTCATATGTTTGGCCTTGGCATCTCTGTTTCTCTCAACATGTTTGAATTCTTTATTCTGTCTTTTTTTCTTCATGTATTCTCTCATATATGTTTTCCTGGATTCAATTTGAGAGTTTGATTTTATCGCTGATGTTAGGTTTTCATCCATTCTGTAAAACTTTTTCTGCAATGGATCATTTTCTGGGAAGCTATGACACAAAGTTGTGATTGAGATGGGTAAAATTTCAAACTGCACTTCAAGATCAATATGCATGCTATTATACATGTTGTACATATAAGACACTAGGTCATCAATACTCCTGTTGAGCACTAATATAGATTTACCATCATACGAAGACATGCCATCACTGTCATGTGAATGCGAGTCAAAAAAGTAATACTCATTGTTTGACACTTTATATATAGCAGAACAAACGGCTCCTATCATTATCAATAAATATCTTGACATTTGAAATGCCGCTTCTAAAGCGCAATGCAATGTTTTAACCTGCCTATTTTATTCTTCACAGACAACCAATCCCCAAATTGTTTCAAATTTTTTAATAACATGATGGTTCTCTCCCAATGATATGTTTGTTGGCAATTCATCAAAATTTAAAAGTTTGTTGAGAAACTTTCCTCTTAGTTGCAAACTTCTTACAGTGTTCACATAAATTTGGTCTCCTGATATTAAAGTTCTGTCTATGAATTCTGAAGTAAATGAAAATCCTTCATAACATTTAATCAGCATGGTAAGTGCATTGCAAGTACACTGACTTCCTCTTGAGAATGTTGAAAATCTTATGTCCCCTTGATGGAGTGAACCGAATACTTTTCCCTAGTACATACCTTGTCACCTTCGTAATCATTCTGTATTGTTTTTTCTCCAACTAAATTGCCACCAGTATTCTGTGAAGATTCAGTGATAGAAGCTTTGTTTGCTAGACTTTTTTCAACAATACTATTTTGCAAATTCATTTGAGCAGATTCATTGAGCAAATCTTTTTCACAAAGTTCATTCAGCAAATTTGTTTGACAAGTTTCTTTGATTTTCCTGTTTTTTTGTAACCTGAGGGCAGGCTCCTCAGGGTCAACAATGGTTTAACAATAATGTCAGAAATTTTTTTACTGTTTTTTAAGAGACCAGTTTCCTCAGTCAAGTCTAGGTCAGACATTGTTTTACTGTTTTTCATGAGGCCAGTCTCCTCAGTCTTGTCAGTCTGTAACTCTTTCTTGGAAGTGCTCTTCTTCCAATACTTCTTACGAGGCATCTACAAAACAACATTTTGAAGATTAAAGCAAGAGGTACCAAAGTACCGAGTTTAATGTCTCGGGTTTTGGAAATATTGAGTGGTCAATTTCTTCTCATATCTAAGAGTACTTGGACCCTTGACCTTGTGATATCAAAATCAATAAGGGACATCTACTCTTCAGGGGATACCAGTGTATCAAATGAGATTTTATTAGCAATGCAGAGAAAGAGAGCTCAACCTCCCCAATTACTTTATACAGCAAACTAGAACTGTCCAAAATGGACAAATAACCCCGCTGGGTGTTTCAGAGAAGCTGCCAAGTCACTAATACTTGCACAAATGACCTTGGGTCAAGGTCATGATACACCCTTAGGGCATAAGCGATCTTTGTGTGAAATGGGAACTCATCAAGTTTATCCAAAAGAAAGATAAGGACCGGACAGGAATTATGAACTTTTCTTTCCCTCAGTGACCTTGACCTTGCCCAAATGACCTCGGGTCAAGGTCATGACACACCCTCAGATCATGAACAATCTTTGCGTGAAGTAGTAGGTTTAAAGTTTATCCATAAGAAAGAAATTGACCAGACATGATTTTTTTCTGTCAGTGACCTTGAACTTGCCCAAATGTCCTTGGGACAACGTCAAGACACACCCTTCAGTCATGAACAATCTTTGTGTAAAATGGGAACTCACCAAGTTTGTTTATATGAAAAATATGGACTGGACACAAATTATGAAATTTTTCTTTCAGTGACCTTGAACTTGCCCAAATGACCTTGGGTCAAGGTCATGACACACTATCAGGTCATGAACAATCTTTTTGTGAAGTAGTAGATTCTAATGTTCCTCTGTAAGAAAGATATGGACCAGACACGTGCGCACAGACAGACAGACAGCTCGACAGACAGACAAGGTGATTCCTATATACTCCCAAGCTTTGTTTGCTTGGGGGGTATAAATATAGATTAGTGCATTTTTTTTTAAATGAAAACTTCTTTTGTCTAGATAGGGATCTTCCACCTGTCATGGTCTCTATATAAATTGTATACATCTCAAGCAAAGAGCCATAATTTTTTTTATGAGTATGCAGTTTAATTAACATTTGACCCTTTTTAACCCAAAAATTCAAAGGGTTCACCCATCTTCCTTGTATGGTTAATTAAACCTCCGATGAACTTAAGTACTTGTGTTCTCTTAACACTTTTTAAATATTACACACAATTCAAATACATGGAGGATTAAAAATAAATGTTAACCAACATAAGTTAAACCCTTCACATTTTTCAGTGTGTCACTTTTCATGAGAGTAAATACCAAGTGAAGCATCCTTAAGATTTTCAGAGTGCCTTCCTGCATTTCTGTGCAAATAAAAAATCATGACAACAAAATAATAAGAATTTTCTTAGTAATGTACTCATATAAAATATTTACCAAAGTTTACCAGACTTTTCATAGTATAGCTGGACTGAGAAATATCTCAGAGCTGGTTACTTAAATACTACAAATGACTGAAGGGTAGCTCTAAATAATATAATATAAACAATTAAACATATAAAAGCTATTGGAAATTAATTTAGAGTGTACTGTGTGTCAGATTTAAACCCACAGAAAAAAAAAATATTGATGGACATTTCTTTCCATTGAAAATCAGAGCAATTAAGACAAAACATAAATAGTACATTATAGTGTGAAAGCAATTATTAATATTGTTGTCATAGAATGAGGTCGAGGAGACCCACAAATTATGTAATTTTACAGTAAATTCTGGCAAAGGCGACATCCATTTGATTCTTAAAAAGGGGGTGGGAGCTCGCAATTTTTTTTTCTTTTTTGGAATTCAGACTACTTTCATGTCAGTAAAGGAAACAATTTATTTTCAAGATGATAAAAAACTGCAGAACTCCAAAACTCTATTTTATTGGAAGGTTGTTTTAAGAAATATTACTGTAAAATCACATATTTTCATATGGGTCTCCTCATACACTGAAAATCTCGATTTAAATGCATTTGTTTACACTTAGAATTCATTTGTTTTTAATTGCAAATAATTCAGTTCTGTTTGTAGTCTAGCCTCTGACTGGTTCATATCCAAAAAGGAACACAAAGAAGTGTATCTGTATAACCTGGTTTGGTATGGGACCCCCCACCCCCCCACCCAGCTAAATCATCTGTATCCATGCAATCCTCTCATTTCCAGTCCTCGGGATTCACAGAAAATTCCACCTTTAATAAATGTATCTTTAACTTCAACCAGGAACTTGATCTTACCACGTAAACGAATAACATGGCTGCTAGGCCTACATATCAGTTTCTAGATCCCCTCGCTTTGTGCATTATAAAGTGTAAATTGACCCAAACCAGGTAATACTCGAATAATTTGGCCAAGAATTAGAGTCATTCCTAAAATACTGTTGAAAATAATCATACAGATGATGCAATGACATTAAACAGGGAAGAATGATCAATTTTCCTCTTTTTATTGTATAATAACTATTTA